ACGAACCGGAAAATGATGTTCTTTATGAGGTTTCCTCAAGTGATGAAGATATTTCGAGTGAGAGTGAGGATGAGAGTGATGAAGAAGCCCCAGCCCCGCCACGCGGTAACCGCACGTGTCCGGTACCAAAGAGGGCTAGGCTGGGTGATGAGTGGAATCGTAGCAATACTCCTCCCATCGTTGATGACTTTACTGCAACCCCTGGCCTAACAATTCCACTACCTGCTACTCCATTGCAGTTTTTACAATTATTTTTCACTAGAGCAGTGGTTGAATACTTAGCGTATGAAACAAATTTGCATGCCACACACGTCATACATCTCATGGCTGAGTCAGCAAGAAAAACGTGGAAACCAGTGTCGGTGAAAGAAATGGCCCGATATTTGGCCCTGTGCATACTGATGGGCATAGTGAAGATGCCTACAATGAGGATGTACTGGCAGACGAATCAGATGTGGCATTGTCGATTCTTCAACTTGTTTATGTCGTCTGCTCGGTTCCAACACATTTCTAAGTTCTTCCACATGTATAACAAAAAAGGCGTTCCAGTGAATAATAGTGACCGATTGATAAAAGTTAGACCACTAATGGACTATTTTTCAGAAAAATTTGAATCTGTATATATCCCCAAAAAAGAATTGAGTCTCGATGAGGGTACAATGGCTTGGCGAGGCCGCCTCTCTTTCAAGGTCTACAATCCCAACAAGCCTGATAAATATGGTGTAAAATTTTATATGTTGGCCGAAGGGAAATCAGGCTACATATATAAATTTGATGTGTATTGTGGAATTGGAAAAACGACAGTGGAAACCGTGATGGGGTTGATGGCGCCCCTAGTCAACAAGGGTTATCATTTGTATATGGATAACTACTATAACTCGGTAAGCCTAACAGAACAATTACGTGAAGTTGGTGTTTACACATGTGGCACACTTAGACTCCAACGTGGCGCCCCCAAGGATCTGCAACAAGTTGTAAAGGGTAAAATGGCAACCGACACGACCGTATACATGCGTAAGGATAACACCTTTGTTATAGTTTGGAAGGACAAGCGCCCCGTCTCTGTCATCACCAATATCCACAATGCCGACACTACTCAAGCACAGCGCAGGAAACGCGTTCGTAAAGGTGACGGGAGAACTGGAGTAGAAATTGTGAAAATGAACAAACCCAAGGCCATAGTGGATTACAATAAGTTCATGAAAGGTGTTGATCATTTTGATCAAATGGTCAAATATTATGAGTTTGCAAGAAAAACCCACAAATGGACCAAGAAGATCACTTTCTATTTTCTGCAAATGGCCATGCACAATGCATACGCATTGTATAACCACTACTCAACAGATACAAAAAAACTAACACTATTAGAGTTTCACGCAGTAGGAATAAAAGCCTTATTGGCGTGGAACAGCAAGGAATGGCCAACAACAACAAGTATACCACATGTTCCCGACATAGATGCCAGCGCAGCTCCTCCTGCTGACGCGGCAGTTTCAACACCCGGGCCATCTGGTGCGAGGCGTCCTCTGTTCACCTCAACACCTAAAGCCCACTCATCAACCACAAATTCTGAAATGGACATTGAGGACATAGAACCACTTGATGTTTCTGATTTCATAGAAGATTCTACTACAAGTTTGGTGGTTCCTGTAGAAGACAATATTCTTCCAGTGAATCCAAAAAATACAAGAATTATAGATTCAGAACAACGTCTCAACTACAAGTTGACGCATGAACTCGTGCACTTGGCTAAAAAAAAAAGATGCCGTGTTTGTTACAAGTCTGGCAAAAGGAGGGACGTGATATATGGATGTAAAACTTGTGATGTGGCACTGTGCGCTGCGCCTTGCTACACAAGGTACCACCGAAAAAAGATATTTTGGGTGGAGAAAAAATAACCACCGGCAACAGCTTCACTCCACCTAAGAAACATCAGATGAGCAACTTCAGGATCAGAAGCCTGAAGATGGTGGAGTGAAGAAAAAATGCTCAACTGTTGATCTTCAATCAACATAGACAGGGTAAGTACACCTATTTTGAATTTTTTATCATCTATAAGAAGTTATATTATATACGTTTTGTAGAGAATTTATTTGCGAATTTTTTGGTACCAGAATGAATATTATATCACATAAACTTCTATGAGTAAAAAAAAAAAAAACACAAAGTATGTTTGGGGGTGTGGCGGGTGTGGCTCTGGGTGTGGCGGTCGTGTGGCAGTGGGTTCCCTTTAGCCGTTGATATATCCAACACGTGGGAAATATTTGTATGTGTTATGTATATGTCTGTGTAGGGAATTTTACTGCGATCACTGTCATACAAATTATAAAATGTTTCAACAAGTATAAACATGACAAACATCAAACGAACGAAAACAATGCGTTCGTTTCTGCCGCGAACGCATACTGAGCGACGTGGTTCTATATTTGGCGCTTCTCTTACACATGCTTTGTACAAATGTTATACATTTCATCTTATAGAAAATTTTATTGCGAACACATTGGTATAAAAAAGAAATACGTACATAGAAAAGTAGGGTCAGGAAACGTATAAATGTATAAACTTTCCAAGCATGATTTCCCCCCTGTGTTTTCGCCAGTGCGCTCGCGGCTAACTACTCTCCACTTCACACACTATTGCGGGTGGGCAATTACCTATATTAAACATTCATATGCATATGTCCGTGTAGAGAATTTTATTGCGATTCCAATGATACCAAAATTACCGATGTAGGACAACTGTAGGCTTCGCAACCATTAAGAGAGTGGAAACATTTTGTTGCTGTTTGGCGCTCTCGGCGAGTGATCTGCATAGTTTTTTATTTGGTGTTGATACTCCTTATGCTTGGGCGGCATTTTATAGGTATGCTCTTATAGACAATTTCATTGCGAACACAGGGATAACAAATTTAAATACGTGCGCCTTCAATTATTGTCAGGACAGTCAAAAGAGTGTACACTTTTTCGGTCTTACGCGTAGGCGCGCGAAGTGCCGAAAGCATCTAGGGTATTGATTTTTTTTGAGCGCCGAGAGCGCGAAAGTGTTAAAAGCTTACCTGTCACCCCTCCAATATTTTCCAGTTTCCAGAACAACCTCTTATGTGGAACTCTGTCGAAAGCCTTTTTTAGGTCCAGATAGATGCAGCCAACCCAACCATCTCTTTCCTGTAATATCTCTGTGACTCGATCATAGAAACTGAGTAAATTCGATACACAGGATCTTCCAGATCGAAAACCACACTGTCTGTCTGATATTATATCATTTCTCTCTAGGTGTTCTACCCATTTAGTTTTGATTGGTTTTTCCAATACTTTCACTATTACACTTGTCAATGATACAGGTCTATAATTGAGGGGGTCTTCCCTGCTGCCACTTTTGTAGATTGGAACTATGTTAGCCTGTTTCCACACGTCTGCTACGATTCCTGTACATCATGGGTGCATCATGTGTTGTGTCCGGTTGCGGCTCTTCGCCGTTACCTGCGTACCGTGGCTGGGGATGTGCTTAGGGTTGATCCAGTTTCCCGCATTCCCCGTTCCAGGGCTTGGGTCTCCGAGGTTGACCGCTGGGTTAAGTCCAGTCAGCCTGCGGTCTATCCTCGTGTCCGTGCCGTTCGGACGTTTGCAGCTTTCGCTGCAGCGTTTGGTAACGTGTCTTGGGCTCATTTCGGGTGCAGGGATTTGGAGGTCGTAAAGGTTCCTGGCCACCCGTTATTTTGTGAGCATGTCTGCTCCTGGATGTTCTGGTGTTGCTTTGGGTCGCAGGTTGCTGCCTGCCTGTTGTCTCGACTTCGCGTTGCGCAGTTTATGGCGGCCGTCTCCCGGGTTAGCCCTTTCTTTTCCTTCTCTTTGGGTATGAAGCTCCAGGGAGCCGTAGGGGCTCCCCCACAGAAAACCAGCGTTGAATGTAATGAAACGCCATTTTCTGGGTGAGCCCCGGAGGCTCCCTGGCAACCCTCCCTTTCACCGGTTGGCGGTTTTTTCGTTTGTTGAAGCTTAGCTTACGAACTGGAGTGCTATGCAGCCGGCACGGTGAGCTCCGTGCCCCTCCCCTCCCCCTCTCAGTGGGAGGGGGGGCTGCGCAGACGAGCGGCGCAACAATAATGTGTTACATTTGCTTGTTTGCTTGTGATTGTAGAGAGCTCTACCTCTCTGTTTGGTTTTTGTTGTTAGTTTCTTACCATGTGGGGTTTGTTTTGTTATGCCTACCTTTCTGGGTGTCTAACCCCAGTTGATGGCAGATAAGAAAAAACCCCAACCACAGGGGGCTTTTCCAGGGCCACTGCTTCCCTGCAACCTCTCTGAAGGGGCCAGGTTCTGGCGCTGGTCCTTGGTAGGTCTGAACTCCATAGTTAATGTCCCGGTCTAATATAACATACATTAGCCCGATAAGCTCCAGGGAGCCGTAGGGGCTCACTCAGAAAATGGCGTTTCATTACATTCAACATTGGTTTTTTGCATGGTGGAGAGCTGGCGTGCACCGCTCGGCCTACCGTGAGGTATGCTGCGGGTCACCCGCCGGAGCAACGAAAGTGTCAAGCAATGCCACCGAAGTCAACGTGAAAGAAACACGGCTGCTAAATTCGCTTCTCTGAGGGGACCATGTTCTGGCTAGTGGTCCCAGGTAGCCATGACAACTCCGTATGACTGAAGTCCCGTACTAATATTAGCTAATATCAGTCCAATAAGTCCAGGGAGCCAATGGGGCTCCCCATAGAAAAACTAGGAAATTTGCATTATGTAATAAGTAAAGCTGCAGGGAAGAGATGCTGCACCAGCCATGATCAACATGTGCCAACACTTGCCTTCTGGCCCCCCTCACACCAACCACATTATCACAACTTTTAAATTATATCCTGTGAATTTACTATTATAATATACTCTACAATTTCAAAACATTTGACTTTTTAATGCAAATACAGAGGCTGATATACTTACATACAAATTATAACTAAACTTATAATGAAACAGCAAAACAAGTAATAAATAATAATAACAAACCTGATAAAGCAACAACAAAGATGATGGCCGTCACTCCCTCAAAGCAGTGGATCCACTTTTTTCTCTCGGATCTCTGTCCGCCTACATCAAACAGCCTGAAAACAACAAAAATGCATTACTTGAATGATGAGATTAGCTTCAAAAGGTCAAATAATCATGTACCTGTATGTGCATAAAAGCCCAGTTAACAAAAACTGTGCAACTGATATTATGATACAATAAGGCTAATATTATCCGGATCATACCTCGCTACCACTAATAGTGTAACTTTTTGATTAACCATTAAAATATATTTTCAGTACGAAAAAGTAGTGTTGCATGCAATGAATGTCCATTTTTGGTTGTGACACACAGTAGCTCCCCTGTAGTTATAGTACTGGATCTGCCAAGCTTCAGGGAGGTGCAGCACCAGGCATCAAAACTCACTACTGTCTACCAGGTGCCAGGACACAAATCTGGCTTTTCCTACAAGGCAAAGGGATCATAACTGGAGATGGTTCCAGGAGTCCTTTTACTCCCCGAGCCTGGCATGGCATTCAACGAGGAGCATGGGGATCAAAGAGCAGCTCAAACCCAAGACAAAACAAAGTATAGTGCATCAAACAAGAAACTGTTCAAAGGAAATTAATAACACAAGGACAACATGCTAAATAATCATTGCCTCGGGATAAACACCTCAGCCGTGATACACCCGACTTCAATTAGGTGGCAGCGCTGGCTACACAGCGTCCCTACAGCCAGTCACCTCATTCACCAGCTATCTGAGCAGAAAAATTCCAGTGCCGACTGTAGTTCTGACAGCACACTTTTTTCCTTCTCGACTGAGGCCCTCTTTAACTGGGCCTCAGCGGCTCACTAAAGAGAGCTTGCTGATGAGGTAGCTCCACACGAGCCACATCAGCCCTAGGAGTCCATAATGCATACTGTAGACCAGAGCCAGAACCTGGCCCCCCTCACAGAGATGCAAGGCGCAGAGGATTCTTCCGATTGCCATCAACGAGAAAACATCCAGGAATTACGTGAAGTAAAACAGACAACTGCATGTTCACAAAAAGAAAAGAAACAAGGCAGATGACTGCAAACAATCCACTCAGCAGTTAGGTTGAACTCATTAGTTATATAGTTAGACACCACAGGCAGTACCATCAGGAGCTCCAGCTCCCCACATCAACAGAGCTCAGTCTGGAGCTGAAAAACCCCACCAACAGAAGGTTGGGGAGGGGGGGGGGTTACCAGGGAGCAACCAAGGGCCAGCCAGAATGAAGCATTCTGTTACATTCAATGCTGGGTTTCCTGGAGGGGAAACTGAACCATGACTCTCAGAAGCTAGCTAACCACAGAGCATAAAGAAAAGAGGAACTTACCATGTTTATTACACAGAGGAGGAGGAGGAGGAGGAGGAAAGACTAAACACTCAAAAGATGAGAACCTAGGACGGGAAAACTCGAACCAGGAAAAACACAAGCTTAACGAGGAGCAGGAACAGAGACCAAGTAATGAGCCACCAGGACTGTGTTAGACCTTCAAAACACCCCTGAGCCTGAATATCAGCACATGGCATGTTGGAAAAGACCACTGTCTAAGCTGCAAACTCGCAATCATGGGATCAAGGGTAGACCACAGACTGGCTAGACTATATGCCATTGCAACAAAAGCAAAGAGCCAGCCTAAGCTGTTGCACAGCCATATACGTGTACAGAGGAAAAGAATGGCACGAGACCATTGGATTAGATTGCAGGGACAGGGATAAATACTCTTGAAAAATGATAAAGAAGTGTGAGAAGAACTCAAGACGTTCCAGGTAGTCTGCACACTGGAACCAGACTGGTGACAACAGATAGCCAGAAACAACACTAGACACAAGTCAAGTTAAAGTAGAAGAGGTAAAATGACACCTGGAGGAACTGAATATAGCAAAGGTCAGCACCCAGATATCACCATGGTTACTGACGGAAGCTGCAGGGATCTTTTGTAATCCACTATCATCATCTACTGTTTTCTGTCCTACATTGTGGCTTGTTGAGCTTGAACCTGTTGCCCCTATGTATTACATCTGACCTTTTGAGGAAGTGGTCTGGATTAATATCCTCAAACTTCTTCAGCATTTAAAATGTCTCGATGAGATCAACCCTGTCATGTCTGGTTTGCAGTGTTAGTCCTGTGGCCCTCAACAGTTCCTGGTATGAAAGTTGACTTAGTTTTGGAATTATTTTTGTCACTCTGCATTATACTTTCTCTAAAGCAGGTATGTCCTTTTGAAGATGGGGGTTTCCATGCTTGGATAGTGTAGTTCATATGGGGGCACCCCAGAGATCTGTGCAGTTAAATGACCACTAACTTTTCCTTGAAACTGAAGGTTCAATTGACTAATACCTACGGTTTGATTGGCTATTTTTACTGAAACTCCCACTGCAAATTTTAATGACTAGTGGATCAACACTACAGGGGCCTGATGGCTGAGTGGAAAGTGCTCGGGATTCATAGTCGTAAGGTTCTGGGTTTGATCCATGGCAGAGGCGTAAAGAAATGGGCAGAGTTTCTTTCACCCTGATATCACTGTTCACCTAACAGTAAATAGGAACCTGGGAGTTAGACAACTGCAATGGGCTGCTTCCTGGGGGTGTGTAACAAAAAGGAGGCCAGGTTGAGGACCAAGCCAAGGGAACACTAAGCCCTGAAATCATCTCAAGATAACCACTCCCAGGTCCTTTACTTCATTAATCTGCTGTATGGCAGTGTTGCTGACATGATAGATATGATGAGCATTGTTATGCCCGCATGCAAGGTGTTGCACATTTCCGTATTGAAAAACATTTGCCAGTCATTTAACCATTTGCGGAGTTCATGTAGATCTCTTTGCAAGGCCTCAATATCCTTTTCCCTTCCCACTTTACCTTGAATCGTGTCCGTGTCATCCCTTTACCGTGTCATCTATAAATGGGATCATGTGGTTTCTAATATTCTCAACTATTACAATGATATTTATAACAAAGTAATCACAATGGCATGATATATCAATGAGAAACTCCTCTGAGTCAATGAGATGAATTCAACCAGCATTCTGATGATTTCCAGATGATCGCCTTAACCCACTCTGTCACGATAGGACAAAAGGTAATCAACCTGGCCAGATCGAGCCAGGCTAAAAGCTAATCGACCAGGAGGCCTAGTCGAGGACCGGGCCAAGGGGAGGCTAAGCCCCGAAAACACCTCACGGTAACACCTCAAGGTAACCTGGAACTCTAACGTCTGGAGGTCTCAACTGGTGCCACCACCAGGATTTGACGAATGGGCCGACCTTCTCACTGGTGATTTCTCAATGATTTTCTCATTGATATTTTAACCAAAAAGAGTTAGCACCAAGATGGAACCTTGTGGTACTCCACTCACTACATTTTTTCCCAATTGATTTACGTCCATTTACGACGACCCTTTGTTTCCTTTGTTTAAACCACTGTTTTATCCATTCTAGTATTAAACTATTTATTCCATGTGAATGTCATTTCCTCTCCAGTCTTCCATGCAATACTTTATCAAAAGCTTAAGAGAAGACCATGTTTACAGAAAGATATCACCGTAACATGGTTAATATCAACGGGAAAATCAATTGGAGCAACAAACTAGAACCAGCGATCAGAATGCTACCAGCCAAACACCTCAAACACGTTGTGGTACAGGGGTAAGGTGCACTACTTCAAGCACCTTCATTGATGGTTTGCGCTGCCTCATTGCTCAAATTGATGTACAATACAAAGACTTTACTAGACTTTAAATACTAGACTTTAAATGACGTGGTCTCTGTGCCAGGGCCACTGCTCCTCACCGCGCGTGGCACACCATAGATCGTGACACTGTCACTCATCCTGGCCGCTTGCCTCCACCAGGTTCATTGATGCTCAGGCACTGCAGGACCTGGCTACCCACACCCTACAGTGTGCTTCTGCCTGAGGGGTGAGGCCAGATGCCTGCCACACCCTACAGTGTGCTTCTGCCTGAGGGTGAGGCCAGATGCCTGCCACACCCTACAGTGTGCTTCTGCCTGAGGGTGAGGCCAGATGCCTGCCACACCCTACAGTGTGCTCCTGCCTGAGGGTGAGGCCAGATGCTTGCCACACCCTACAGTGAGCTCCTGCCTGAGGGTGAGGCCAGATGCCTGCCACACCCTACAGTGTGCTCCTGCCAGGGGGTGAGGCCAGATGCTTGCCACACCCTACAGTGTGCTCCTGCCTGAGGGTGAGGCCAGATGCTTGCCACACCCTACAGTGTGCTCCTGCCAGGGGGTGAGGCCAGATGCCTGCCACACCCTACAGTGAGCTCCTGCCTGAGGGTGAGGCCAGATGCCTGCCACACCCTACAGTGTGCTCCTGCCAGGGGGTGAGGCCAGATGCTTGCCACACCCTACAGTGTGCTCCTGCCTGAGGGTGAGGCCAAATGCCTGCCACACCCTACAGTGTGCTCCTGCCTGGGGGTGAGGCCAGATGCCTGCCACACCCTACAGTGTGCTCCTGCCAGGGGGTGAGGCCAGATGCCTACCACACCCTACAGTGTGCTCCTGCCTGGGGGTGAGGCCAGATGCCTGCCACACCCTACAGTGTGCTCCTGCCAGGGGGTGAGGCCAGATGCCTGCCACACCCTACAGTGTGCTTCTGCCTGAGGGTGAGGCCAGATGCCTGCCACACCCTACAGTGCGCTCCTGCCAGGGGGTGAGGCCAGATGCCTGCCACACCCTACAGTGTGCTCCTGCCTGAGGGTGAGGCCAGATGCCTGCCACACCCTACAGTGTGCTCCTGCCTGAGGGTGAGGCCAGATGCTTGCCACACCCTACAGTGTGCTCCTGCCTGAGGGTGAGGCCAGATGCCTCCCACACCCTACAGTGTGCTCCTGCCTGAGGGTGAGGCCAGATGCTTGCCACACCCTACAGTGTGCTCCTGCCAGGGGGTGAGGCCAGATGCTTGCCACACCCTACAGTGTGCTCCTGCCTGGGGGTGAGGCCAGATGTTTGCCACACCCTACAGTGTGCTCCTGCCTGGGGGTGAGGCCAGATGCTTGCCACACCCTACAGTGTGCTCCTGCCTGGGGGTGAGGCCAGATGCCTGCCACACCCTACAGTGTGCTCCTGCCAGGGGGTGAGGCCAGATGCCTGCCACACCCTACAGTGTGCTCCTGCCTGAGGGTGAGGCCAGATGCCTGCCACACCCTACAGTGTGCTCCTGCCAGGGGGTGAGGCCAGATGCCTGCCACACCCTACAGTGTGCTCCTGCCAGGGAGTGAGGCCAGATGCCTGCCACACCCTACAGTGTGCTCCTGCCTGAGGGTGAGACCAGATGCCTGCCACACCCTACAGTGTGCTCCTGCCTGAGGGTGAGGCCAGATGCTTGCCACACCCTACAGTGTGCTCCTGCCTGGGGGTGAGGCCAGATGCCTGCCACACCCTACAGTGTGCTCCTGCCTGGGGGTGAGGCCAGATGCCTGCCACACCCTACAGTGTGCTCCTGCCTGGGGGTGAGGCCAGATGCTTGCCACACCCTATTGAGGCCAGATGCCTGCCACACCCTACAGTGTGCTCCTGCCTGGGGGTGAGGCCAGATGCCTGCCACACCCTACAGTGGGCTCCTGCCAGGGGGTGAGGCCAGATGCTTGCCACACCCTACAGTGTGCTCCTGCCTGAGGGTGAGGCCAGATGCCTGCCACACCCTACAGTGTGCTCCTGCCAGGGGATGAGGCCAGATGCCTGCCACACCCTACAGTGTGCTCCTGCCTGAGGGTGAGGCCAGATGCCTGCCACACCCTACAGTGTGCTCCTGCCAGGGGGTGAGGCCAGATGCCTGCCACACCCTACAGTGTGCTTCTTCCTGAGGGTGAGGCCAGATGCCTGCCACACCCTACAGTGTGCTCCTGCAGGGGGTGAGGCCAGACCCAAGCCACACCAGTGCAGGCTTGCTACAAGCCTGGCCAAAACACACCAATCACCAGTAACTCAAAGCACGTCTCTCAGCCCCCATAACTCTACTGTCTATCTTTTAAAATATCTACTACAACAGACCAAGCTAGACAAAATTAAATACTGTTTATTATGTTTCTAGTGGCAGAGTACGACCAAATGACACAACATTGTCGTTTATGCGGTACGGCAGAAACATGTCCGAAACGCTTTGCGTAATAGTGGCTTTAGGCATTGTATGTACTAGCTCTTATCTATAAAGCCAACAAACTTTGTAAAATCTCTTTATGTATGTACCTTTGCCTAAATAAAAATTATTATTATTATTATTATTATTATATGTGAATGTGTGTATATACCAATACTGTACGTATGCAGATGAGGAGTCACAATAACGTGGCTGAAATATGTTGACCAAACCACACACTAGAAAGTGAAGGGACGACGACGTTTCGGTCCACCCTGGACCATTCTCACAATTGACTTGCTTACCAGGCAATTTGTCTGGAATGAGAGTGGTCCAGGACGGACAGAAATGTCATCGTCCCTTCACTTTCTAGTGTGTGGTTTGGTCAACAATACATATACAGCTTGTACAGCTCGAGAGCATACATCTTCGCTACTTCTAGTATCATTTGTCTCGGCTTCTGCTGCAATCATTCTCAATCACTCCATTATTAATATCATTTAGGTTATAACCCATTAATAAGTTACTTTACCAAAGCTCTAATTTACATATTTCTTCTAGTAAAATATTACTAAGTAGTAATTATGGAGTACAGCAGAAGCATTGATCTATGATACCCAAGCACTTGCACAGATTCAAATATATACAATGACTAAAATTTTCTATAAAACTATAGAAATCTTGTTTACATATTATTCTTCACTAACTTGTATAGTTCTAGCTATACTCCACAAAGTAAAAAAGAACTTTAATATAAAAATTGACATATTATCAATGGATGACACATATTAGCCAGCTACTAGATAAAGACGAGCGCACAACGCACGCTATACATGAGCAGTACGTATCTTAATTCACCATTAAAGTACAACCAAAGACTTATTCATTAGAAATTAGCCTACTTGTCAAGAAATAATTCATCAAGCAACAAAAAGCATACCAAGCTAGTTGTAATAATAACTGAAAATGTACTTCAATAAAAATGACCCACAAAGATAATGGAAGGGTCAAACGTGAACACTTGTACGTTAATTGTTAAAACGGACCCCTGCAGATTTATCTTGGTAGCTCCACCACTTGTCATCACACAAGGTTAAAAATAAAACAGAAATGAAGAATGGCTTAATACAAATACTGGCGTACTAGTGGCTGTACAAGAATGTAACAACTCTTGTATATATCTCAAAACAAAAACAAAAAAAAAAAAAAAAAAAAATCTAAATGTCAAGGGAACATTAAGATGCTAGTGGAAAAAGACAATCCACTTAGTATGCTGCTCAATTGGAATTCATTACTTTCACAACTATTGATAATACATATATATACACAATTTTGTGTTCCTATTTCCTTATAATACTACTGAAACTAGAAAACATCAATGCAGTATATTACTGTACTTGCAAACACTTTTCATAAACTCAATGGAAATCCTTCATCATATTACATTAAACAGAGGCCTATACCAAATATCTTGGGCAACAAGTGTTCAAATACTGTAAATAAACATTGCTCTTAAAACTGACAAAAATATTAATGAAAAAGGCAAGAGACAAGTAAAGAAAACTAAGGAATAAAAAAAAAAAGACAAGGTAGATACACAGCTTAATAACATCCTCCTAGTGAAAATGGGAATCTGGTTTATATGGTTGAAAATACAAATTCGCAGAAGTGAAAGTGTCAATATATATTATCAAAGATCACACTTACTTGAAGTTTAGGTTCTTGAAAGAAAATTTTGTCTCCACAATGCCTGTTGTTTTAACTCTGGTGCGGAGGACATCTTGCTGTGTGGGAACATAGCCAGGCCGAGCAATCCGGTCCAACAGTGACACCTCTGCTTACGAATGCCCCTCTTTACTTAAGAACTTTTCGGGTTACGAGGCCAATTTCTTCGTAAAATCCGAATCAGGTTACGAACTTTGCCTCGGGTAACGTAGTTTGTTGATATGCGTATGGCTGACCTAGCAGGTGGTGGCATGGTGACCGCGCCTCAGTTTACCAATGCCTCTTGCCTAGTGACAATCGTGCCTGAATTCTTTGTAAAGAATTTCAGTGTTTTTCGGATTTTTGGGTATTTGAACATAAAAGTAATTACTGTATTACATATCTCGCCATGGGTCCGAGGAAAGTCAGTGGTAAGGTTGAACCTAAGAAAATAGTTCTGAGTAGAGGCAGTAGGTGTCCCTTCCTCATTAAGAAAATGTGTGAAGTATGGGAAAAAACTGCAAAGTTTTGTTGAAAAAACTCACCCAGATAAAACTGTAGCAGGCCATTGACCTTTTAAATGACAATGTGATGTCTTACTACAGACAAGTGTTAAAATGTGGGGGAAAAACAAGTGTCTTTAGACAGATTCTTAGTAAGACAAGCAAGCCGTGAGCCACAACCAGGTCCTAGTGGTACTCCTGCAATACATAGAAGAGAGAGTACTCAAAGAAGTCATCACTGCCTGATGTTATAATGGAAGGGGACTCCCCTTCCAAACACTAATACCTCTCCTCCCCCCCCCCCCCACCTCCTCACCGTCTTCCATACGCCAACAAGTCATCAATAAAGGTAAGCAATAACTTGTACATACTTTAGCACTAAAGATTTAGGTGAATTAGGTATATAATTTACTTTAAAGTTAATATTTTTGGGAGTGTGGAACGGATTAATTCAAATTTACATTATTTCTTATGGGAAAATTCGCTTCGGTTTACGAATTTTCGGGTTAATGGAACCAGTCTCTGGGAACGGATTAAATTGACAGTGAACCGTGGCTGATGTGACAGTGAACCGTGGCTGATGTGACAGTGAACCGTGGCTGATGTTACAGTGAACCGTGGCTGATGTGACAGTGAACCGTGGCTGATGTTACAGTGAACCGTGGCTGATGTTACAGTGAACCGTGGCTGATGTGACAGTGAACCGTGGCTGATGTGACAGTGAACCGTGGCTGATGTGACAGTGAACCGTGGCTGATGTTACAGTGAATCGTGGCTGATGTGACAGTGAACCGTGGCTGATGTGACAGTGAACCGTGGCTGATGTGACAGTGAACCGTGGCTGATGTTACAGTGAACCGTGGCTGATGTTACAGTGAACCGTGGCTGATGTTACAGTGAACCGTGGCTGATGTGACAGTGAACCGTGGCTGATGTTACAGTGAACCGTGGCTGATGTTACAGTGAACCGTGGCTGATGTGACAGTGAACCGTGGCTGATGTTACAGTGAACCGTGGCTGATGTGACAGTGGCCCCTTACCTGAAGGCTGCTAAAAATATTGCTGGGTGGGTTACCAGGGACTGTACTCTATTTAAGTCACTCACAGTCGACTGTGTTCACATACCTAAAACAGTGCTGGACACCGCTCTCATTCCACAATCGCTTCATTATGTTTGCTAATTCAGGAGTCAATTCACCTTCATCTGCTGCACTTGCTAATGTGAAAAAGTGCCGGGCATCATCCTGAAAACATGAAGAGTTTAAAAATTTTCAAACAAGCTGTCAATATGTTTATACAAAAAAACAGCATTGAATGTAATGAAACGCCATTTTCTGGGTGAAACCCGGAGGCTCCCAGGAACTATCCAGGCTGATATGCTAATGTAAGACTTTGGCATCAGTCATGTGTATGGAGTTCTTAGGCCTACCGGGGACCACGACCAGAACCGGGCCCCCTCAGAGAGGCAAGATGAGCAATGGCCTATAGAAGCCCCCGTGGGCCGACCGGGGACCACGAACGATCAAATGAGCATGACGTCACATGTCGCCGCGCCGCTGTCTTGTAGCTTTCCCCTCCCCGGGAGGGGGAAGGGAGAGCCCCAGACCTCCGTGCCGGCGATCCACCCCTTCAGTTCTGAAGCTGGACATCAAAATCACGCGAAAACCGCCGACCAGGGGGAGGGAGGGTTGCCAGGGAGCCTCCGGGTCTCACACAGAAAATGGTGTTTCATTACATTCAATGCCGATTTTCTAGGAGGAGCCCCGTCGGCTCGCCGGAGCTAACTACCCACAGAGGAAAAGTAGAGGGACGTACCCAGGAGGCGGTCGCTGCTCCCTCCTCAACCCGAAGTCGAGACAGCTGGCTGCAACCGTCACCCCAAAGTGACACAGGCCCAAACTAGGCCCCCAGGAGCGCGCAGCCAAGACCCTGTTTGATCGCCAAAAACCCCACTCCTGAATGTCCGCCCAGGACACGTTGCCAAAGATGGCAGCAAGAGCAGCGAACTTACAAACATCATGGGCATGGGGATAGACTGCAGGCTGGCTAGCCTTAATAAGTCTGCAGACGACCTGGGAGACCCGCACCCGCAAACAGGGAAGGAGGGAAACCGGATCAACCCAAAGCGTACCACCGGACACAGAAGCCGTGGCACGCAAATAACGGCGGAGGGCCACAACAGGACACAAAAAATGATGCACCCCGGCCTGGCCAACCAAGCATCAACAACCCAAGGACCCCTCTGGAAAGCAGCCGTCTCATTCTTCGCCAGAAAAGGAGGAGACGCTGTAGAAGAACAAACCGATCGCGACGACTGAAAGAGCAGAAACCCCTGCGCTGGAGGAGAGCATGAAGCTCCCCGACCCGACCCCCAGAGGCCAATGCCAACAGGAAAAAAAGAGCCTTTGAGAAACAATCCTTAACCGAAGGGGCCACCACGGACTGAGGAGAAGAGAGAAAAGAGAGCACTTTGTCCAAAGACCAGGACAGCTCAGGTGGCGCATGAGCAAGCCGGAGGTGAAACAACACCTGAGACAGCTTGCGAAACGGCACAGAAGTAAAATCAATACTGAAAGCAAGCTGCAGCAACTCTGCCAGCGCTGCACGATAAGAGGCGTCAGTATTTGGCATAAGATGACAGTCCTTGGACAACCTAGAGAGAAAGGACGACAACACCCGAGCCAAAAGTGAAGCATAACGACAAAGAGTCAAAAAGAACCGGAAGGACCGCCAGGAAACTTCATACTGCCGCCGAGATGAAGCTCGCAGGTGAGACACCAACAAGGAAGCCACCTGATCACCATAGAGATGATGATAAACTCAAATCAAAAACACCATACGTGAAGACTCGAGGATTAGATCGAACCAGCCACATGACGCTACAGTCCGATCTCCTGGAAGAGAGAGAGCCGCGATAAAACCTTTGGGTTTGGACATCGAGCAAGCAGTGGAGAACCAACAAGTCAGACATAGGATGACAGCTAGCCGAAGCAGCCTGCAAATACTACGCCATGGCAGAAGACAAAAGGGAGAAGACATCCTAAGAGCCAGAGCCCAGGCCGAATCCAGAGAGGAGGCAAGTACCACCTGATGACACGCGAGCCGGGAAGCATAAAACAGAGAAACCGCATCCCGCAGGATCGGCGCAAAGAACTTCAACAAGGCAGCTGACGAGCGAGCCGCCGAGCCCAAGGCACCGGATCCAGGAATGGCCCCAAGCATCCCCACATCCTCTGCAATCCAGTCCGAAGACAACTCCAAGAGAGAAAAGAAACGCAAGGCCGAAACCAAGAGGCTCCAGGCACGCAAGTCCTCGGCCACCTGCGCAGCCGAAAGGAAGGGAACCTGCACATGGAGCTGCAGAACACCAACATCCCAGGGAAGGGCAGAAGCAAACAAGCACTCATTGAGGTGCTTAAGGACGCCCCCCAGGAAAACCTGAACCACCGTCGAAGCCTCGCGCCATTCAAGCGTGCAGGAATGACAGAAGGAATGCCAAGCCTCCAAAGCAAACACAGGACAGTCAGCCAGCCAGGGCAACTCCGGAACCTCATAATGGACCCAGAAAGGGAACGACGGCCCAAACCTGAAAGATGGATCCATAAGCTAGGCATAATCCGGGTTGCGCAGGAGGTAAGCCGCTAGGGCTGCCCAAACCGCAGACAGTAGGATGCGGTAAGCCAAAAACCTCCAGAAAGACGGAACAAACGCACCCGGGGGACACGGAACCGAACCTGGGGAGGGGCAGACACCAAAGCCAACTCATATGCAGAGGGGAAAAAAGGGAACCTCACTCCTAGTAACAGTAAGCACCGCTCAGAGGGGCAGAAAAACCCAGGCGGGGTCCAACGGGGCCCAAGGCCCCCCTGCTTGATACCTGCTTGATGGGGTTCTGGGAGTTCTTCTACTCCCCAAGCCCGGCCCGAGGCCAGGCTCGACTTGTGAGAGTTTGATCCACCAGGCTGTTGCTTGGAGTGGCCCGCAGGCCCACATACCCACCACAGCCCGGCTGATCCAGAACTTCTCTTAGAAAACAGTCCAGTTTTCTCTTGAAGATGTCCACGGTTGTTCCGGCAATATTTCTTATAGTCGCTGGGAGGACGTTGAACAACCACGGACCTCTGATGTTTATACAGTGTTCTCTGATTGTGCATATGGCACCTCTGCTCTTCACGGGTTCAATCTTGCATTTTCTTCCATATCGTCCACTCCAGTACGTTGTTATTTTACTGTGTAGATTTGGGACCTGACCCTACAGTATTTTCCATGTGTATATTATTTGGTATCTCTCTTGTCTCCTTTCTAGAGAGTACAATTGGAGAGCTTTGAGATGATCCCAATAATTTAGGGGTTTTATCTCGTCTATGCGTGCCGAATATGTTCTCTGTATTCCCTCTATTTCAGCAATCTCTCCTGCTCTGAAGGGGAAAGTGAGTACTGAGCAGTACTCGAGACGGGACAACACAAATGACTTGAAGAGGACAACCATTGTGATGGGATCCCTGGATTTGAAAGTTCTCGTAATCCATCCTATCATTTTTTTGGCTGACACAATATTTGCTTGGTTATGCTCCCTAAACGTTAGATCATCGGACATCATTATTCCCAAATCCTTGACATGCTGTTTTTCTACTATGGGAAGATTCGATTGTGTTTTGTACCCTGTATTATGTTTCAGATCCTCATTTTTGCCGTACCTGAGTACCTGAAATTTATCACTGTTAAACATCATGTTATTTTCTGCTGCCCAATCGAAAACTTTGTTGACACCTGGTTGTAATTTTTCAATGTCTTCAGCAGAGGTAATTTTCATGCTGATTTTTGTGTCATCTGCGAAGGATGACACGAAGCTGTGACGTGTATTTCTGTCTATATCTCATATGAGAATAAGGAACAGTAGCGGTGCAAGGACTGTACCTTGAGGTACAGAGCTTTTAACTTCGCTTGGACTCGATTTTATTTGATTGACTGTTACTCTTTGTGTTCTGTTCGACAGGAAATTGAATATCCAGCGTCCTACTTTTCCAGTTACTCCCATTGACCTCATTTTGTGCGCTATCACGCCATGGTTACAGTTGTCGAACGTCTTTGCAAATTCTGTGTATACAACATCTGCATTTTGCTTTTCTTCTAGAGCTTCTGTGATTTTGTCATAGTGGTTGAGTAACTGTGACAGACAGGATATTCCCGCTCTAAATCTACATTGTCCTGGGTTGTGCAACTCATTGTTTTCCATACAACTAGAAATTTGATTCCTAATCACTCTTTCAAACACTTTTATTATGTGTGATGTTAGTGCAACTGGCCTATAATTTTTTTGCCAAGGCTTTACTCCTCCCCTTGTGCAAAAGAGCTACATCTGCAGATTTAAGTGCTGCTGATATCTCCCCTGTATCTAGGCTCTTTCTCCATATTACGCAGAGTGCTCGCGCTACTGGTACTTTACATTTCTTTATGAATATTGAATTCCATGAGTCAGGCCCAGGAGCTGAGTGCATAGGCATATTGTCAATTTCTCTTTCAAAGTCTTCCGAGTTTGTGGTAATATCTGTTATATTATCTGCAGCTTGAATGTCATTCATAAAGAAGCTGTCTGGGTCATCAACTTTCATGTTGTTTATTGGTGTGCTAAACATAGCCTCATACTGGCTTCTTAGAATTTCACTAATCTCTTTGCTGTCCTCCATGTACATATCTTCATTTGTAATTAACGGTCCGATACTGGCGAAGGTTTTTGATTTTGCGTATGTGAAAAAATATTTTGGATTTTTCTTTATTTGTTGTATAGCTTTCTGTTCCAATACCATTTCCTCAGACTCATATGATCGCTTCAACGTTTGTTCTAGTTCTTCGATCTCCCTGCTTAGGCTTATTTTCCTTGCTTGTGATAGTTGTGTCTGCCGAAGCATTTCCGTTATTTTTTCCTTCTCCTATACAGTCGTCTGCGTTCTCTTTCTAGAGTGGTCCTCTTTCTGCCCCTCCTCACAGGCACGTGCTTCAAGCAGACCTTGTAAGCTTCAGCTGTCAGTTGAGCTATTCCCTGTGTGGGAGTTTTGTTGCTTAAGACCATCTCCCATTGAATGGTTGCAAGGTCTACATTTATTTTTTCCCAGTCGATCCTCTTATTGTTGAAATTGAATTGATTGAATACTCCTTTTCGCTTGTTGGGTCTCTTAGACCTACTACCGTTATTTATGCTAGTTCGCACTTTAATGAGCTTATGGTCTGAGTATGTAGTATCTGAGATTGTAATGTCTCTGATTAGCTCATCATTGTTTGTGAATAACAAGTCTAGTGTCTTTTCGTTCCTAGTTGGTTCTGTAATCTGTTGATTGAGCGAGAATTTATCACAGAATCTCAAAAGGTCTCTGACCTGTGGTTGGTTATTTCCCGGGTTATTTCCTGCTATGATATTTGTGTTTGCTTTCACTCCATCTTAGACTCGGTAAATTGAAATCTCCAAGGAAGATAATATCTGGAGCTGGGTTTGCTAGGTTATCAAGTATGTTCTCTATTTTGTGCATCTGCTCTGTGAATTCCTCAACCGTAGTATCTGGCGGTTTATATATTAGAATAATAATTAGGTTTAGTTTCTCTACCTTAATTCCAAATACCTCTACCACCTCAGTAGTTGAGTTTAGTAGTTCTGTGCATACCAGGTCCTCTTTAAAATACAGACCTACTCCTCCATTTGACCTAGTTTTTCTATCACATCTATATAAATTATAATTTGGAATCCAGATTTCACCATCCATGTAATCTTTTGTATGAGTTTCCGTGAATGCCCCAAATATTGAGTTTGACTCTAATAGGAGGCCATTTATGAACTTGAGTTTATTTTTTGACTTTGGCTTTAAACCTTGAATGTTTGCAAATATGAATGATTGTCCATATTGTGTGTCACTTCTGGAAGGTTTTGGTAGTTCTCCCTCCTCTCTACCCTGACCCCGGGTGTGTTGTTGTGGCAATGGTTTGTCCGTTTGACCTAAAGAATAGAATCCCCAGCACCAGAGGAGAGCATGAAGCTCCCTAACCCGAGCCCCAGAAACCAAGGCCAACAAACAGAAAGGCTTATGAAAACAATCTCAAACCAAAGAGGCCACCACAAGACGAGGAGAAGAAAGAGAAGACAGAACCTGGTCCAAAGACCAGGAACGTGCAGACAGCCCATGAACAAGCTGGAAGTAAAATTGCAAGTGAAATCTTGCGAACGGAGCGAAAGTAACATCCACCCTGAATGCAAGCTGAAGTCGCTCCACCAACGGCACACAAAAGGAAGCGACAGTATTCAGAGTGAGATGCTGGTCCAGAAAAATCCAAGATAGAAAGTACAACACAACCCTGTTGAAATCGGCGAAAACCTCCGAAGGGAAAGGAATTGACGGAATGACCGCCAAGATACTATATACTATCGCCTAGAAGACCACAGGTAGAACAGCATAGAAGGAACCACCTGATCCCCATAAAAACAGTGATACACCAGTGTCAGAAAGACTACATGCGAAGTGTCGAGCAGTGATGCAAACCAGCAAGGTACCTCACTGGCCCAAATTTCTGATAGAGGCGGAGCCACAGAAAGATTGCCCACACATTGCCTTTCGCCCATGGAAAAGGGTTCGGACACCGAGCAAGCAGCACCTGGAACCAAGGCAGGGTCAGCCACCAAGGAACCAGGATAAAAACCCTCTCCCAAAAGGACTTGAAGCGAACCCGGACCAACAGCTGTATCAAGGGGAAGAGGTCTCCGTGGTGTAGTGGTAAGACACTCGCCTGGCGTTCCGCGAGCGCTATGTCATGGGTTCGTATCCTGGCCGGGGAGGATTTACTGAACGCAATTCCTTAACTGTAGCCTCTGTTTAACGCAACAGTAAAATGTGTACTTGGATGAAAAAACGATTCTTCGCGGCAGGGGATCGTATTCCAGGGACCTGCCCGAAAAGCTACGCGTACTAGTGGCTGTACAAGAATGTAACAACTCTTGTATATATCTCAAAAAAAAAAAAAAAAAAAAAAAAAAAAAAAAAAAAAAAAAGGTAGAGAAACCCCTACCCCGACCAGTCCTGCCAAAAACTTCTACCGCACCAGTCTCGCAGTCGGGGAACGGCGCCACAGACCGAGGCAGATGCTGAGTCCACATCAACACGAGGAGGTCCACCTCTAGCCAGCCATATATCCGGTACAGTCCCCTGAAGGACACAGCGTTGACCGTCCACATCATGGAAGAGGAAAGAAACAGGACAGGCAACCCAAAAGGTTCCCAAAATTTTGGTTGTTTCCATTGTGGGGAGAGTTCTTTTGGCCATTTTTGAGCTGTAGTCTCGTTTTAACCATACGGCAATCTGTTTTGATTCGCCTATTTTTCTGGGTCCCTTCCCTAGGATGGTGACAAATATGATAAAGTTTAAATGTAAAGTGTTCACAGCCCATTGTGCCCTGCACCTCTCTGAGGAGGCCAGGTTCTGGCTCATGGTAATCTGTAGGACAACAGAACTCCACGATTGATGACACCTAATAGTATGGCACTTAATCAGTGTGATAGCTTTAGGGGGACCGACGGGACTCCCACTCAGTAAAGATAAACCATCCAGAAAGCTGAAGGAGAGAAAAAAATAAAGCAATGAATGTAATGAAATGTCTCTTTCTAAAGGCGCTCGGTGACTCCCTATTACTAGCCACACGGAGATGGCTCCATACTAATAAGGGGACAGAGTCAATGTTTACTCTAGAACGACCTCTTTAGATTTACATTTCTTTGAATCTCGGCCATAATTCCCAAATTGCACAGGCAATTAGGGAATAGTTGCTTAGTCTATGATGCATAAGAAAAATATTTTTCAGATTTTTTTTTGTTTGAAATTGTTAATAGGCATCCAATAAGCATGACATTAGCATCCAATTAGCATCCAATAAGCAAATTGTTAATTAGCATCCAATAAGCTTTGCCCGAAACGCATTGCGTAATAGTGGCTTTAGGCATTGTATGTACTAGCTCTATCTATATATCAATCCATTAATGTAACATCACTTGTATGTATATACCTTACCTGAATAAACATCTGAATCTGAATCTGAATCTGAATGACAATCCTGATAAAGGTCTCTACTGACCATGGTTTAGCTGTAGCGACCAGGTGAAGTTGTATGGATTCAACACTACTGTACAGTAATGAGGTTAGGTGCTGTGCGGGAATAACTCTCTTCATTTTGATGACCAGACCGCACACTAGAAGTTGAAGGGACGACGACGTTTCGGTCCGTCCTGGACAATTCCCACAATCGACTTGAGAATGGTCCAGGACGGACCGAAACATCGTCGTCCCTTCAACTTCTAGTGTGTGGTCTGGTCAACATACTTCAGCCACGTTATTGTGACTCATCGCCTGCACTCTCTTCATTTACTGTATTTTTAGTGTTTCTCATTTGATTACTTATATTTTTTGTGCTCACGTATTGTATTGATGTGTCGGTATTTCTATTAATTACAGTATGTATAACTTTGGACATATACCTATGTACAGGTATGTGTATAAATATATGCACACCCTGTTTTTATTAATACCAATATACTGTATATATAAATGAAATGTATACCCATAAAAGTTAACAGGAAATTACTTGAGCACTTTCGTGTTAATCAACATAAAAAGTTACTGCTGTATTGTCGAATGAAGAAAGAGAAGGCATAAAGTTTTATGGAATAATTACCAGATAATGTACTGTATATAAAAGTTACAAAAATAATATATGAATCAACAAAAATTGTAGCCATGAAAAATAAAAATGCTCCTGCACTCACTGCAACAGATACAAAAATATAAATTACCACTGCAACTAATTGCAGTGAAAGTTAAAACTACTTATGCATCAATAATTTTAAATCTATTTCTAAAGCACCGGCAAAAATGGCAAGCCGCCCATGTTGACATGAATGTAGTGCACGAGAAAATCCGTAGGAGCCGTACTGAGGATTCAAACCCATGCAGTTGGTAGTCCCCCCCACACACACATGCCCCAAACAATCCATGTCGGGGCCTGATTGCCTGGGCAGAGTGCGTGGCGACTACCCATCGCATCGGCTCCAATCCTCATCACGGCACTTACGGCTTTTCTCATTGATACGTCCCATTAGTGCGATTACTCTGTGAATATAGTGCATAGTAACTCACCGCTCGACTAGAATCTTTAAAGTCAATCTTTAGTTGCCCCATGGCTCTGATTATTGCCATGAGTGACTGGATTGTATTGGAATACACGACCGGTCGGTACTGTTCACATTCGTCCCGGGAATATCCTGTCTCGTGTATAATCTTCATCTGTTTTACAATTGTACTTTTGCCAGATTCACCAGCACCTGTAGAGACAAATGCATATATAAGGATTCAATTACTACAAGTCCTTAAGAGGCTGTGTTCATATTCCATCCTATTTAAAGTGGAATACAATATATATAAAGGAAAAAATAACTACTTCATATAAACCCCCAAAACTATGTCTTTCAAGAAATCTCTTAAAATTACTGGTAAAAGCCAGCATTGATTATAATGAAATGCCTTTTTCTAGGGGTAACCTCAGAGGCTTCCTGAAGCTATCCAAACTGTATGTGCTTTATTAGTATGGGGTCATCAGTCACTCAAGTTCTTAGCCTACCGGGGACCACGAGCCAGAACCTGGCCCCCCTCTGAGAGGCGCAGGGAGCAATAGCGTATGAGCACTCAACATGTAAAGTATTGTCATATTCTGCCATTGACCAGGGCAGTAGCCTAGGAAGATAGGCGATCCAAAACAAACAACTACAGTAGCTGGTAAAATGAGATCTATCGCCCGAAAAAGCAAAGAATTACTCACAAAGGAAAAAGAAACGAAGAAACCAGCAACTCTGCACGCAAACTAGTACTCCCGCTCGTAAGCAAACTCCTTCCCCCTTGACATGGGGGGGTGCGGTTGGTTGAGAGGAAGAGCCGGCCCCACCGCCCACCCCTCCAGTACGGAGTCTGATGGAAAACCGCCTACCAGAGGGAGGGAGGGAGGGAGTGTGTCAGGGAGCCTCCAGGGCTACCCCCAGAAAAGGGTGTTTCATTACGTTAAATGCTGGCTTTCAGGGGGGAAGCCCTGTCGACTCTGAAGCTAACTGCCCACAGAGAAGGAAAAACAGGGACTTATCAGAAGGTGGCAGCACCTTAAATTTCAATGTGAAGAAGGAACCGTCGGCCACGACAGATGCCCCAAAGTGAAAAGGTCGGACAGACCCTTTCCCAGAAAACAGGGGCACTTGGTACGTCCCTGTTACTGGACGTACAGGGTACGTCGTGTATATACGGGATGGCCGTACATACGAACTCCAGGTATGGCCTTACAGCACGGGCACGAAGGTAGACTGCAGGCTGGCTGAATGACTTAACACTGCGGACAACCTATGACACACAAGCCCAGGAACAGGGAACCGGATCCACCAGCACAGAACCGGTGGCCCACAGGTAACAGCGTATAGCTGCCACCCGACACAACACGTGATGCACCCCCCAGCCTAGCCAACAAAGCAACCACCTCTTCCGGAAGTTATGCCTCCGGAAGCCCGCCATCTCAATCTTCGTCAGAAAGAATGAGGGCGCGCTCCCTGCGCCTCTCAGAGGGGGCCAGGTTCTGGATCGTGGTCCCCAATAGGCTAAGAACTCCAAGTGACTGATGACCCCAAACTAATAAAGCACATATCAGTTCGGATAACTGAAGGGAGCCGACAGGGCTCCATTCAGAAAAAACTCCAGATACAGTAAACATGTACTGTATAAAAAAAATACCAAAACAATATAATAACACTAGTACAAACAGTATTTTATTATGACATACACAGTATATTATGCCATTTTACCTTTAACCCTAATGGGTGGGCTGCATGGGTTGCCCTGGTTGACCAGACCACCAACCAGGAGGCCTGGTCAGAGACTGAGCTGCAGGGATATTGATCACCAGAAACAGCAAGAAGTAGACAACAACTTTACACCCTTGTTCAGCACCTCTCTCGGTTGTCATTCAGTAATGGTGACAAGTTTGTCAGGCTTGCTCCAACATCTTTGTTGGTTCCTGGCCAAGAATGCGTCTTCTGCATTTAGTCAATCTTCTTCTCATTGTTGCCCCCCCGAGTCATTCATCCTATTGCTCAGGATATACCCGTCCAAATACCCCTGTCCAATAGTGACGTTATGCCAGCATCGCACAGCAGTGTTGCCTTGTATATCTTGGCAGTGTTGGCCTGGTACCTTATGGCATCAATACATAAATATATTTGGGTATCATAAAAAACCAGCTTTGAATGTAATGAAACGCCATTTTCTGGGTGAGCCCCGGAGGCTCCCTGGAGCTTATCGGGCTAATGTATGTTATATTAGACCGGGACATTAGCTAAGGAGTTCAGACCTACCAGGGACCAGCGCCAGAACCTGGCCCCTTCAGAGAGGTTTCAGGGAGCAATGGCCCTGGAAAACCCCCTTGTGGTTGGGGTTTTCCTTATCTGCCATTGACCGGGGTTAGGCACCCAGAAAGGTAGGCATAACAAAACAAACCCCACATGGTAAAAAACTAAAACAAAAAAACGAACAGAGAGGTAGAAACTCCCTTCAATCCCAAGGAAACAAACAAACCAGCAAACATCACACTTTACTGCCACATCGATCGTCAGCGCAGCCCTTGCAGCCACGAGAAGGGGAGGGGGAAGCCCCGGACCTAGCACCCCGGCTGCCTAGCATCAGTTCGGAAGCTAAGCTTCAACCAACGCGAAAGAACCGCCAACCGGTGGGAGGGAGGGTTGCCAGGGAGCCTCCGGTGCTCACCCAGAACATGGCGTTTCATCACATTCAACGCTGGTTTTCTGTGGGGGAGCCCCCTATGGCTCCCTGGAGCTTCATACCCAAAGAGAAGGAAAAGAAAGGGCTGACCCGGGAGGCGGCCGCCACAAACTCTGCAACGCGAAGCTGAGACAACAGGCTGCAACCCGCAACCCACGGCAACAAGAACGCACAGGAGCAGACGTTCCCATAAAGAACGGGCGGCCAGGAACCTGTGCGACCCTCAAATCCTTGCGCCCGAAATGAGCCCTAGATGTCACCAACACAGCAGCGAAAGCTGCAAATGTCCGAACAGCACGGACCCAAGGATAGACCGCAGGCTGGAAGACCTAAAAACTCTGTGGATGAACTGGGAGACCCGAGCCCTGAACAGGGAACGAGGGGAACCGGATCAACCCAAAGCGTATACCCACACAAGGTACACAGGTAACGGTAAAAAAGCGCAACCGGACAACACAGGATGCATTCCCGGCCGAACCAATCAAGCATCAATAACCCAAGGACCCCCCCCCATAAGCAGCCGTCTCGACCGTCGCCAGAAGGACGGAGAAAGGCTGCAAACGTACAAACCTACTACCAGTACCAAAGAGCAGAAACCTGAACCGAAGGGGCTACCACAAACTGAGAAGATAAGAGGGCACCCTGATCAAGGACCAGGACGGCTCAGGCGACGCATGAGCAGGCCGGAGGTGAAACAAAACACGAGAAAGCGTACGGAACGGGGCAGATGTGACGTCCACCCCGAACGCAAGCCGGAGCGGCTCCGCCAGCGCCGCACAAAATGAGGCGACAGTAAGAAACATCAAATAACTGTAGTCCTGAAAACCCAAGAAAGGACAAGACAACCCGATGCGAAAGAGAAGACGACCTACGAAGAGCAAGAAAAAGGTGCATAGAAACACCAGGAACATCATACTGTCGCTGAGACGAAGCTCGCAGGTGGGACACCATCAACAAAGCCACCTGAACACCACATAGATGGTGATACCCACCTCAAAATACCAGACGCGAAGAGAAGAGGAGAAGGCCGAACCAGTCACGTACATGACTGGTCTGACCTGCCGAAAGAGACGGAGCCACGGGAAAACGACCCGGGTTCGGACACCTATCAAGCATTGTCTGAAAATAAAGCTGGGCCGGCCACCAAGGGACCATGAGGACTACTCTCTTGGGAATGGGCTCCAACCGAGCCAGAACCTTAAGCAACAGCTGGACCGGGAGAAGAGGAACAGGTACCCCCCACCTCAACCAGTCCTACCGAACGACATCCACCGTGAACATCTCGCAGGCGGGCAAGGGCGCCACATAGAATGGGCGACGCCTAGACTTCACCGATTTGAAGACGTCCATGGCCAGGAGTCCATACGTCCAGCAGAGCCAACGAAACGAGTCGGCGACGACTGGCCAATCCGCTAACAGAGGAATGAACAGACAGGCTGTCCGCCAGGATGTAGGACACACCCCAGACATGAACCTCACGGTTAGCCAAACCCCGAGAATCCAGCAAAGGAGCCACTCGAAGGGACCAACCCCAAAGGCAAACACCTAAAGAGAAACCCCGTGGTTCCGGCAAAGAACCGCCGGAGACCAGTCCGAATGGAGCTGAATGGTAGAGTACCAAGTGACTAGAACCCTCCGAAGCGCAAACCAGACAGCCTCGAACTCCCAAACCATACTGTGAGCCCGACGGACGGACAGACCCCACCATCCCCGACTGACCTGGTGAGCACTGGTCACAAAGCCCCAGCCAAGAGATGACCCGTCCGTGAACACATCGAGCGAAGGCTCGGGGAAGTGCCAAGGTACAGAACCCCGAAAACACCAAAGAGGAAGCTGGTGATGCAGCACCAACACAAGATCCCTGGAGGAACGAACCCAACGATTGCAAGAGAGGTGGAAGGGGAGTCTCCGAAGGAACCAAACAGACGCCGAAGCCAAACCCAACCCTGCGGGCAGACCAGCATGTCGAAGTTCAGACTCCTGCACAACTACTCGAGCAACCGCCGAGCAACCCGGGATCCCCTCAGGAACAGCCGAAGGTGGGACCACAGCTGCAGCAACACTTCTGGAGGGAAGGACAAGGAGCGGCTCAAAAGCCCTAAACAAGACCCAGCCAGGTTCGAACCCGGGACGGAAACAGATAGAACGGCCTCCAGATCACCAGGAAACAAAACCTAGCGATCTGGAAAGAACCACACACACCTGGTGAGCAGACAAGCGGACCGACTGGGAGCCCACACCAGCCAGACGTCGAGGTAGGCCAGACACCGAATCCCAAGCAGACTCAGACAGAGCACCAAGATCCTGTAAAGAGGCATAAATACACCAAGTGCCAATTACAAACTAGGGAAGGCAACAAAAGTGGCAAGCCTGAAGCCGCATCAGCAACTCCAGGCACCCATCCTCAACAGAAGCCGGACCGGAGACAACAGTCCTCCAATGAGGGCACAGAATCCAGGGCGAAGACTGGAGAAGTCCAGAAGAACCGCAGATTCACCAGGCCCGTGTCTGC